GACACAAACTTTAAATTATTAATATATTTTTTTAGGTTTAGATGCATTTTTTGTTCCTCGAAATTGAGGATTAACTTGTTTTTATTCTCTTAAATTTAAAATTAATTTTTTAGTATATGTAATTTAAAAAAAGCTTATTTTAGTATACTAAGATGACATCACAAACAAAGACATTGAGTAAACAATTATGTAACATCAACTAAATATAATGTGATAGTAGTATTTTAGTCTATGTAATATACATGTTAAATGTTTATTATATATAATTAGAATCTAAAATAAATTATATATATAAATAAATACAATGTTTGAATATTTAAATTATATTTAAAATTCAAATAAATAAATATTTATGATAAATAACTTATAGTATAGTATAAAATTATTTTTATTTATTGATAATTTATTTAAAAATTTAAATTTAATACATAAATAAATTAATAAATAAAAATTAAATTACATATGAAGATATAAAAAAATCATTAAAGAAAAGTTTTTAAATACTACAAGATAGTTCTTTATAATTTATATATAGAAATTGATATAATAAATAAAATATAATTAAATATAAAGTTAAAAATATTTTAAATTTTTTTATGTAAAAAAAATTAAAATATTTTTTCACAAGATAATACATTTATGTTTTATACATATAAATTTGATTAATATCTTTTTTTTTTGTGCATGATAGTATTTAAAATTCTTTCCTTCCAACCTGTTTAAATCTTACTTTTAGTTATTATCTATTCTGCATAATTTAATGTCAGAGTCCCACATTAATTGGAAACTTGACTTTAATCCAACATCAGGTGAATAAATAGGACAAAATCAACCGCACTGAAACTTGCTATAAGTCAATGAGTAAGGAAATTAAAACAAGTAGTAGGAGCTGCTTGTAGCACAACTAAGACAGTGGCAACTTATTTTTAATTATATAATTTTTTTAAAATATGATAAAATTTATATTTATCTGGATATTATTTTATTTAAAACTAGCATAACTTTGACTAATATAATTTTTAATTTAGTAATCAAGACTTGGAAAAGTTGTTGCAGATTACATCATGGGTACACCTTCAATAAACGGTAAGAATTATTGAAGTGACATATTATCTATGTACGAGGCCAAACCCTTGACATTCACATACTTTCCTATCTAACAATGATGGTAAAGTTGAGACTGAAAGGAAGCAGTGTTCAAAAGTATCTGTATCTGTATAGCTACTGTTAATGTGAGGACAGTGAACACGTGCATATATAAATAATGTTAAATGAATTTGATTATAATTGAAATTTCAATATATTGTTACAGGTGTTTTTGGTTAATTAGAACTCTAAACCAGAAAGTTCTTGAAAAGTGTATATGAAAAGGAATCTCATAAAAGCCTGCATATCACAATTATCATACTTTAATGGGAATTTATTATCTTTTTTAAAAAGTTATATTTTTTCTTTATAATTTTAATATAAATATATTTTTAACAATTATTAACTATTAATTATTAATATTTTATTAAATAATAAAATAAAAATAAATAAATTATTATTATTAAATGATTATCATTAATAATAAATTGTATTGTAACGATAAAACCTAAACAAAAAAGAAAATGGAGTCATCCTATGTTAAAGAATATATACCTTAATGGGAGTCATGATGTTTCAATCATGTTGTTGCAAGCAATGATTTATCATTTTACTAATAAAAATCTATTTAAAGTTATCAAAGATTGCTATTACCTATATACTAATAAGGCTATACATTTTTTAATAAAATAATTTACAACTCATAATGGCAAAATAATTTAGAAAATATAAAACCTATATATAGGTACTAAAATTTTAAATATGAATGTAACGTGATATATATATATATATATATATATATAT